AACCCAACCCAAACCCAAACCCAAACCCAAACCCAAACCCAAACCCAAACCCAAACCCAAACCCAAACCCAAACCCAAACCCAAACCCAAACCCAAACCCAAACCCAAACCCAAACCCAAACCCAAACCCAAACCCAAACCCAAACCCAAACCCAAACCCAAACCCAAACCCAAACCCAAACCCAAACCCAAACCCAAACCCAAACCCAAACCCAAACCCAAACCCAAACCCAAACCCAAACCCAAACCCAAACCCAAACCCAAACCCAAACCCAAACCAACAACAACCAATTCTAAAAATAGAATTCTTCTAAACCCAACCTTCAAACCCTAGCCCAAAATTATAAACTTATTCAAATATCATTAAATTTTATATCATTCGATAGCCAATGATGAGTAGAATAACGTGGTATATTTAGTTTATCAATTTATAAAATATTAACTTTGTAAATAATGTCAGATTAAAATTTCAAAAATGAAACCATAGGAAGAATGATAATTTCAAAATCCTTTAATGAGATTATATAGTTTATATCATCATTAACAGTATTCATCATTAGGTTCACATGAAATTTCAAAAGTTCAAGTCAGTAGGTATAAAAGTATCAAGTAAAAAGGGAAGTTGTGAGGTACAATAGGTCAACAATAACTTTTGAGTTTCTCATCAAAACATATTAAATCCTGATATGAAAATGTTCCATTTGATGAGTATACATCGAATATCAAATTTATTTTAACTTTCATATTTAGAGATTTCTTCACTCAATCACACATGGTCTACTTTGATGAAAAGGATGAAATCTTGAAAAAGGACCACCTATTGAAACTTTACCAGCATGATGTAGATGATATATAATGATATAGAATTCATTTTCTTATCATAAAAATCAGAAATGGTACCATGGGAAGGTAAATGTTGATATATTATGGTTGACTTTAGAGAAAGACAAGTCAGACCAACTCTATCAAATATATCACTTCAATCAACAATATATACATGAAAATGCTCCATTCGATGAGTAGAGATAGAATATTAAGTTTATTTTCACTTTCATGTTCATGATTTCAACTCTATCATACCATCTAGTCAACTGAGTA